TTGCTTGTGCAGCAGAGCCGAAGCAATTTCGGCGGTGCATTAATACGCACTGCAAAATTTGCGCGGTCTAATTAAATTGGCGGGATGCTTGTCAAGTCAGACTTGGCGAAAAACATCAAAGCCACTCGATTCATCGCGAACGCATAGAATGCTCATTTACGACAAAGGCTGTATCGATCCGTTAACTGCGCGCAGCTTGGACAAACTTTAGTAATGATCAGAAAAGAAAAGATACAGACGGATAAGAGCGAGGAGAAGAAGGAGGAGGAGAAAAAAAGCATACGAAGAGGCGGAGGATTTAGTGGCGCCGAGTCGCCGATGCGGCAAACAAAGAGAATAAATAGCGATCCAGTGAAAAAAGTGAAAATCAATCGTGCTCACATTCGTCGCAACGCTGTATTTCAAAATTCAATCAGATTCACTGGGTCAACGCGCGACCAAAAAAGGACTGCCCGGATAGCACTGCGAGGCTCTTGCCCGCGTCGATGGATTGAGTTCGGTCGGCCCGAGGGGTGGGATTATTAGAAATTGAATGACTAAGAAAGCCGCCAGTCGAAAAGCCCGTAAAAAGGAAATTGAGAGCTGTTTCGCTGCTTCGATTGCCTTATTTATGAGGCGCCCTCGCGGCAGGTGTTGCGTTCACTCTTTTACATTGACGAGTCGTCGAAACAAGATTTTCGAATGGCAGCGTGGAAAAGCCAGATATGACGCGGACAAGCGGTTAACCTATCGCATCTTGCAATTCAAAGTTCCGCGGTAATGAATCCATCCGGAAAACGCCCGTCAGCAAGACGAATTGGAATTCCCGGAGCGTACGTGCGCGCGCCACTCTTTTCCTCTCTCGCTTAGCTCGAGGGGCAGGGCGGAGAATTAATTGCTCCGTCCGCTCAGAGGGCCAGGACAAGTCGGATAATTGGCAGGCGAGCTTCTTCATCTTCCTGTTTCTCTCACGCCGATCGAAAAACAACGCTGGCATTTCGTGCACCGCGCTCGACAGCGGTGATACGTCGGAGAGAATCCAAGGGCTATGCAACGCTTCGGCGGCCGATGGCACCCCGCCTTCGTCGCTCTGAAAATGCAGCGGACTCTGGTGCAGACTTATTTTCACGAAGACGAACTGTGCTTATCTTTACGAGGACGCGACGCGAGAAGGAGAAAATCCAACCCATGAGCAATTTTTCAATCTCCGGTAAGCTCGATGTTCACTCGGTGTCGCGTGCGGATGAAAGGGGCATTATTAAAAGAGGCACGCAGTGTAACGAGAAGAAGAAAAAAAGGATGTGGAAATTCGATATTGCGCCATCATTCTCGTAGCCGTAAAATTTCTTATTATTACAGCTTTCTCGACTGGAGCATACCAGGCCGAAGATTTCGCAGTCATAACAGCAACGCCAGCTGCACAGCTGCAGTAGCGTCTGTTTTTATTATTTTGCGTCGTCGAGATCGTCGAGGTCGCCGACTCTTCGATTTAACGCCGGCGGCGACGGCGACGGCGACGGCGACGGCAACGGCGACTAAGAGCAGCGGCAAGTTCCAGCCTCGCGGGGCTCGCCTGAAAGCATAATGCGGTTATGGTCCGGGAAAGAGAACCGTAAAAAGGGCACCGTAACGAACTCGTTAAATAAGCTTTCGCGCGAAATTGAATCTCCCACTTGCGTTTTCTCTCTCATTCAGGGCTACGCTGCCCATTCCACTCCTTACTTTTCCCGCCTTCCTCCGCGCTCTGGATAATCCACCTGAAACGATATTCGGAACAAATGCATCGAGGCAACGAGCGACTTCTGATCCCGCGCGATCTCTGAGCCGAACGGTTGCGTGCTTTGACATCATCGCCTCTCCCTTGTCCGCCCCTCCGCCGCACGTTTCGGCCGAGCAATAACTATCGTTCTTCCAATCCCATCGGCAATTTGAATGCGCAATTTTTTTTCCGATCGCAAATCCGCGCCGGCGCATATTTCTTATTTACATGCATATTCGTTGGCCTTCCATTTCGAAAATAACAGCGGACCGATCGTCCAGTTTTTCGCGCGGCCAAGTGAAAGAGCAACAAAACTTAGGTGCCGCAGTCTGCAAGTGAATAATCCAATGCACTGCCGTGTGCAACTTGAATTCGACCGTTGCTCGTGGCGCAAATGTGAAAACCATCCGCGGCTTTTGCGGGCAAAGAAGGAACCGTAGCGCGCTCGATTGACTTGGACTCGGCCGCGCAGGAGCAGCGCGCGCGCTCTCGCAAAATGCACAAACAGAGAGAAAAAGAGAGTCTCGAGCCACACGCGAATGAAATATGTATCCTAATGGTTGGGCGAGTTTCTCTTTATATTTCTTCGGGGAAAACAATCATACGGAGAGTGTATACGCGCGCGGAGAGCGGCGAAATTGCTCTCGAGTGCGAAATCATGTAAATTGTACGCGCGCGCGTGCACGCGGCTCTATCCGCGGCAGCGATTTGCAGTGTGGTTTCCCGCATTTTTCCATTCCACCTGTCGCACCACTCCCGCGCGCAAGACACGGCAGAATGCGTCGCCGTCGAGAGGGGCGTTTACCGTTCTCCTCCGGTAATGCCGCTACCTATCTTTTTCTACGTCAACGCTCTCGGCGGCGTTTTACGCGCCAGGATGTTCATTGTTGCGCCCCTTGTCAGTCGACGCTCTGCCGCTCTTTTTCCCTCGATGCATCTTCTTATTGACGAATTGCCTTCCGCGAGGTTGCTTGACTTGTCCGCTTTCGCTATGCGTCCACGATCAGATTACTTGATAGAAACGTGATTTGAAAAGTACGCCTGGCTGTTCTCGTACTCGCGCTACATCGAAACAAAGGTCAGTGCCGAATTCTGAAATGCACCAACAAACGTGTCTACCAAGACAAGGTGTATATCAAGATGTTCGTTACAACAGAGGACCAATTTTCACTAATTAGCGAGCGCTAATTGACCAACTGGCGCGCGGGACAATACCATACAATATCCGAACCTCAACGCGCACAATTGAGCCGATCGAATATTCATAATTGGTATTGATGTTAATGCTCTAAAATCGGACGCTCGTATTTATTTCAGCAGCCCAATAAATAGACCTTTGTCGGTGTAATGTCGCTCGAGAGAAAGAGAGAGAGAGAGAGAGAGAGAGAGAGAGAGAGAGAGAGAGAGAGAGAGAGAGAGAGAGAGAGAGAGAGAGAGAGAGAGAGAGAGCGAGAGCAAAAAAGTGAGGAAGAAGAGAGCGGCAGCCACGCCAAGTTTCCTCATAATTTCAGCGGGACAATTTAATAAGAATGTAAATGAGCGTCTCTCGGCTTCTGCGGCCCCGATAAAGAAATCCAGTGAGAGAAGCCCTTGATAGATGCGCGCCTGAGAAAAGACGCGCGCTGCCACGCCAAGTAAGTAGGGTAGTGGAGGGACGAGTGGTTTTAATATCCGATGATTGCAATTGGATTAAGTGTGTCTGTTTACTTTGGTCGCTGCCGCGACGAGTTTTCAAATCCCGTGCGCAGGTAAGGGTATCGTTCGTCATTCTTCTATTTTCTTTTTCTAATTATTGCAATTGAGTCGATTTTTTATTTACTTTCATTTCTCAAATCACAAGTAGGATAACAAACAGGTCGTTCGAGAGAGAAGTGGGTAATTTGATTGGGGATCGAAAATCAAAATGAAATTGCTTTAGTTCGGCAAAAATGGCTTTCCCCGACAACAAATCGCTTTGCTCTATCTTCGGATTTCTATTTGAATTTTCGTGAGCAGTTCAAAACTCCGGACGATGAGGAATATGGAAATGATATATTCACAGGGTTCCCGAAAGCGTAGTTTAACCAAATAAAGACCGAATTAATGTGTATTATTAACCTCGCGGAAATTCGATACAATTATCCCCCCTCCCTTGTCCCAAACCATTTCGATGCTATCACAAAATCCTAAAATACCGGATCAGCTTGGAATTAACTTGTCCACTGTAAAACGCAAAAACGGGAATTTCAAACGCGAACGAGAACAAAACGTAGAGTTTCGATCGGTTCTTCGGACTTGCACGTTACGCGAGGCTTCCTCGTTTGACTTGGAACTCAGCCAGAGCCGATGTCGTAATTAGTTTATATGAGAGACTGCCTGATTTGAACTCGAGGCACGGGACTCTGTCTCATTGCCCATCCGTCATGTAACGTCGCATCCAGACGACGATCCTCTCGAGCTGCGGTATAGGCACCTTATAGGCGGTGCACTCTCTACCATCATCTCTCGTTTCTGATTTTAAATGCAAGCGGCTCGTTCATTACTCCATTCTAACGCGCAAAATCGAAGCGGAAGATGAAATAGATTGTAGCCGACAAAATTGCAATGAATCAATCGATAATTACGCGCGTAGATCACATGTAAACACATAATCCACGTGGAAAAACTTATAAATCCCCGAGCAATAAACTTTATCGCACACATCCTCTCCGCGCGCGCCGGTAACAGCGGCGAAATCCATCTCGCCGCGCCATAAAATTAAATTTCGCCGAGGCATTAAAAGCGCGCGCGCCCGACGAAATCCCGTGATTCATTAATCATAGGAAAGCCAATTTATCGCCGACTGGTTAAAAAAAAAGCGCCATCTCGCCACTTGTCCTTCTCTGCGCGGCGCAATGGAAAAACAGCGGAGCGAGCGAAGCGAAACGTTATTACGACGAATATAATCCCGTTTTCAGCACTATAACGCTTCTCGCGCCCCGACTGGTTCCCGTCAATTATAACCCCCATGCAGATCGGAGACACGCGCTGTGCTTCATGACTCTGCCTCTTTTTTTCGTACGATTGAGTTCCATTACGATTTAACGGCAAGTCGCGAGGAAACTGCAGGCAAACGGGATTTAACAATCTCCCGCCAGTTTCGAATTGTCCGAGCGGATACAAATTTTTCCTTATTTTCATTAGCACGCGAGTGCGAAGACTTGGCTATTAATCGACGAATGAGAAACGATCGGACGATTTTAACAAGCGCAAATTCACTGTATCGTAAAACTGCACCACTTACTGAAAGTGCAAAACTGGTTGAGGTTTGTCGGAAAACATGACGATAGGCTGGTGCAGTCGTTTGTCAGCGCCGCAGATTCGAGCGCCGCCGTCGAATTGTATCCAACCGCCTTCGCACCTGAAAGAAATATAAGAATTCGAATGAAACGCCAGAGTGCATGTCTTACATGAGAAAATTATCTTAGAATCAATCCTATACACAAGGACAAAGCTCGGAATTATGCGATTTCCACGGCGTTTATGTAACAAGCTTCAGCCCCGCCGTAGCAAAACGATATTCTAATTCGCGAGTGCAATTCAAAGGCAAAAGCCTCTTCCTCCGAGAAAAAGGGGCGGGGGAGGGCGAGGGGCGTCTCGAACGAGGGAGTTTCCATGATTGCATCGAGATGGGAAAAGGGAGCCAGTCCATTGTTTGTCACGGGCGAGCAAATCAGTCGCCCGCAAGATAAACGACGACGAAGTGGAGGTAAGATCAAAAGAGGCTGCCGCGGAAGACAGGAAAATTGCTTCGGCGATTACTATGCATGCAGCAGCGCTTTTGCCTTCGCGGCAAGGAGCTTCAAAGGGAGCCACGAGAGAGTGCCAAGAGACGACGCGCGAGGGCGAACGCAAAAGCCGCGCAACTTTCGAATTTCATAAGAGGAATCGACTTGGTTATGTATACCGACGATGAACGGCGGAGCGTTCACTCATCTTCACTCGTCCCGTAGATTTGACATTGTTGCTTTGGCGGCGATTGGGAAGGGCTCGATCGTTGCTCATGAATTCGGAAGTCGAAGCACCTATTGATCTTGGAGTTCGCTCGCCGGTAGTGGCGCTAAAATGAAAAGCAAGAAATCGATCGAGCAAGAGCGTTCTTTTTACTTTATCCACGACCGCAGCGTCTTTTTTAAAGGAGAATTAGGACAAGCCGTCATCGCAGAAGCGATAGCAAGATGCCCCGAGCGAAAGAGATGGAGAGCAAGGAGCGATAGGAAATTCCATTAGCCACGCGCTATTCTCGCAACCGTGAGACTGCTTCCATTCAGATTGTTTTCCTCGGATCTTACAGACAGCGCCACGAGGAGCTGAATTTCTATGGCGGTTTAATTGAAAATCTGACTCGTTAACGAGACTCTCGCGCGCTTCAATAAGGCTAATTAACATATCAAGCGTCAAAGATTGTTTTCTACAGACTCCAGTCCGATTCTTTTGCTCAGCCTAGCTGTGGATATTCGTTATTTCATTTGATACCTTGCTTTTTACTTCTCTCTTTTTCACTTTCTCCGTAAGATATTCAAGCCAATATGGAAAATCGCTGTAACATTAGTATTGCGCACCTTTATTTTTGAAATTAAACTTTTCTTTTAACAAGATATTGTTTTTCGTGACTGCAGTGCGTTTTAATGAAGTGAAATTATTTCGTTTGAAAATCTCAAATTATTTCTCGTTTGGAATTGTTATTCAGAGGATCGGATGATCGGATATTCCACGAAATGAAATTAATCAATGCGTAAAGAAATATGATATGATATAACAAAGCACCGACGTGCACACAGTCAATTTCTCATTCGTACATCTACGCCGACACTTAACCAGCTGCGCGAGAGTCCATAAATTCATATCCCGTAAAATAAAAAGGATAGCAAATGGACGGGCGCATTTGGTTCTGCAGTGGGGCGAAAATTCAATCAATTGCCTGGCAGCGAGTATCGTCGGTTAAGCGTCGCGCGCGAATGGAAACGGGGAAAGACATAAATAAGTGAAAGCGCCGCTTAGCACGTCTCGCTCATTTCGCCGGTTATGCTTCACGTTCCTCGCATCTGGCGTTGGCCTTTTTTCCCTTGTCCTCCCGGGTGCGAGGCGCGAGCAGGCAGCGGCTATCTAACTGCCGGCACGTGAGATTCTTTTATCACGTCTATACCGTCCAGTGCCGTGCCGCGCGAGGAGCAGAGCGAGCGCGAAATTAAAAATGAAATTTCCGAGCTGCCGAGTTATCGTGCTCGGCGATGCGCGAGTTCGACCGATTAATTGCTGCGCCTCCGTCTGTCTTCGCTCTTGTATTTGCGTATTTCTTTCGCGTAGCGCGACTGATGCGACGCAATTCTTTCACTCGCGATATGTTCAATGACGATAATTACATTAGAATATAGGGCCACGGCAAAATAAAATTCAAATAAAAATTATGCAAGTCAAATAAAGCAGTCATATATTCCGTTGCATAAAGCGTATACTCGGGCCGCCGCTACCGCTAGCTGCCATACATTTTCAGAGATTTTCCCGCGCGAAATTCGCAAGCTGAAAGCCATTTTAAAATTATAATCGAATTCCCGGCACGTCGAAAAAATTTAACTTGCTAATCTCACAACAGAGAGAGAGAGAGAGAGAGAAAAGTGCCTACGTTGAAACTTATCGACAATCATTCTCGCTTCGAAAAAGAAGCGAAGATGAATCAGTGTACATCAGAATATGTCTAAATATCGCTCATCGCGTCGCTGCCATCGAAAACGTCGTTGCCTTTAGGCGACAGTTGACGCGACTCGTCAGCCAAGTCAGCCGGAAATCACTTACTCGGATTTTGCATTTCCTCGCGTCGTCGTCGTCGTCGTCGTCGTCGTCGACGTCGACGTCGTCGTCGCTGCCTGCAAATCAATTTATACCGAATTCGCGTCTGCGCCAGGAGATTGTAAATTTTAATGCAAACTCCGAGAGAGAAGGAGTAGGCCGACGAATCTGCGAGTGAAAGGCAACGTTTTTAAACTCGGCAAATATGTCGTTATCCATTAGCGCGCATTACGAAAACAGAGAGAGAGAGAGAGAGAGAGAGAGAGAGAGAGAGAGAGAGAGAGAGAGAGAGAGAGAGAGAGAGAGAGAGAGAGAGAGAGAGAGAGAGAGAGAGAGAGGGAGAGGGAGAGATAGCCGGGACGTTTTTGAATTTTTTATCGAGCTCTACTACGGGAAGCCTACGCACTCTTTTACTCTATCGTTCTGCTTTCCATGATATTTGAAAAGCTCATGTTTTCAGATGAAATATATAACAAAAGGAAAATTTTACTTTTATGTAAGTGCCTGGCTACATCTACTCTTACTACTTGATTCACTAATCCGAAAAAAATGTTCACGTTCGAATTAGTGTAAAATAATTTCATTTCCGAGAAATGTATGACTACATTTTTACTTTGACTACTTAATCCACTCATGATTTCCACAATCAGTCCAATGAAAAAGGTAGCGCAATGCTCAGTAATTGCGAAAGACATAAATTAGGCAGTCACAGTCCCTCTGCTGGCTAATACACTAGTAGGGTAAACAAACTCCTGGCGCTGCTACGGTTGTCGATGCGATTGTTTCGTAAGGCAAATCACGTGCCGCTGGGAAAGCTCGAGAGAGCGAAGTACTCGCGGAGTCAACAAACGTCAACAAACTTAAGATAAAATGCAAATGGCCTCACGCGCACGCGTAGCCTTGATCGATGAGCCACGTTAACGAAGTGCGCAGCGAAGTTATCTATTTTTTCCTCCTATCCGTCAATAAAAGCTAATCGAATGGCTGACATTTGATCGCCTGCAGCAGGGCAATTTCCGCTTTTATTTCAAACATTTGCCGTAACGCGCTTACGTGCGTGCGCGCGCGGACGCGCGCGTGTGCGCGTGCACAGGATTTCATCGCCATACGTACGTAAAGTGGCTTTTGGTATCTGGCGCGTCAGAACTGTCACGTGTTCATTACGCGGCCCGCTCGAGTAAACAGAATTCATATATGCTTTATTTGCCGACTTTGAGTGGCCTAAGCATACAACACGAGCAAACGAAAAAAACGAAGTCAACCAAAGTGGCCCTCGTATTGCACTTGTCGTTTACTGGGGCGGCCGTCGCTGTTCTTTTCGCCTGTCGCTGAATACCCACATAAAGACGTTTGCAGACTGGGCGAATCCGAATAAATATCTTCCGCGCGAGGGAATAAAAGATACGGAAAAAATCAATCGCAGTTGCCGCTGCAGACGTCGTATACATGTATCTTCGAAACTCGGAAACTATCAAGTTTCGCGGCTATTAAAAGCGTCGCGTGGCTAGCTGACTGCAGTAGTTCGAGACCTGATTTATACACGCTATTTCGCTTTAGGCACGCTCTCTTTCCATACACATATACACGCTTGAAAAGCCGGCGAGCGTGAAATCAAATTCCGCGCGTGCGACGCGCTTTTCGCGGACCGTTGCTCTTGCCACCTGACGCTTACGATCGTTGGCCTTCTCTCTTTTTTTATCGTTGTTGTTGTTCTTGTTGTTGTTTTACCGTTGTTTCACTATTGCTTTGCAAAAATAAACATTCGTTTTCATTCGGTGTAGCTATACGCTTATTGCGGTTTCGCATGGCTGGCTGTAATCGAGTTGTACTACTGACGGCGGCTTCAACATTCCTGTGATCTAATTCAGAATAATTCCAATGATTTGTGAACTCTGCGTTTCCATAATTACATATGCAAAAAGTAAAACTGAAAATTACTCGTGGTTTTGCTTGGCTGACTGTAATCGAGTTACACTACTGGCGGCAGCTTCATCGTTTCTACATCTAATTCAGAATAATTTAAATTATTCGCCGACTGGGCGATCCTACGATCACGCATGCAAAAAGCAAAATTGAAAATTACTAGAAACGCGAAACGAGGGAAAAGTCGTATGCATGTACTTGGAAACGAAATTGATATCCACGTGCACAGACCGAGGTGGACTGTACGCAACGATACGAGGCAATGGCAGCAGTAGCACGCGCAACACGTGAAAGCACTTGGGTGCAAGCCTCGTCGCGTCATTAAAACCCGAGTGCACGCATGATTTATTTTGGCGTTGCGGAACAACCGCATCAAATATGCAGCTATCATCAGGGCGCGCTCCGTGCACCCCTGGCTCTCTGGCTTTGACGGCTGCAAAGTTTTACTGCTGCGAACGTAGACACATGCATATGCAGTCGGCTATCAACGGATTTTACATCGGACTTTGTCGGCTCCGCGTTTTAATCACTCTCGCATGCCCGCAGCGGTGCGCCGCTCCGCAAATTATAATTAACGCTGGCCTGTCTGCCGAAAAAAGACAGGCTGCGTCGCGCCTTCGGAAGCGCATTACCAACGGAGAACGCGGATGGAACCGGAACGCGCGTGCCCGGGTGTCTACCGCCAGCGGCGACCGCAAATGATCCGACGGCGCTGCGCGCGTCGCAACTCGCGCGCCTTTTCCGCGTCGCCCAATTTTCAACCGGATTCCGCGAGCGCGGAATAGCGACGCGTGCACGCGCTCGCCCGCTCCGCGATCGATCGAATGCTGCTCTCCTTGCCGCGACTGAGCATTCTCGAGAGCGCCGGCTTGAAAGGGCCTTTTAATTAATGACCTTGCAAAGACCTAACGCCAATTTCGCCTTGTCCATGCAATATCTCCTTACGGAGCGTTCGTTAAGTGACGGTCAACGAGTCATGACAGAGACGTTGGCGCGCAAGCGCCGATTAACTTGTTGTCCAATTCACGATAGTGCCACTTTTTCCGTCAAATCTGCAGCGTAATGGCAGAGGAACTCGGCAAACACAATAATCGCCTGGAAGCAGCAAAATCTATTTGCCATCGAAAGTCAACAACGTGCGAAAACCACCGAGTGTAAACTTCAAACTGCAGGCCGAGTGGTGGCGTCCATCAAAACTAACATTCGCCAAACTGCTCGGTTCGGAACTTGGCTGAATCTACTGAAAATGTCCATTACGTCATGTTTGCCTAGATCTCTCTCTCTCTCTCTCTCACTCACTCACTCTCTCTTACTCTCCTCACTCTTCACTGCCACGAAGTTCCAAGTTCGCTGCTGCTTCACACACTGTGGCTTCCATCGCGTATGTTGCTGCCTGACGCGGCGTTAGTTTCAGTTTTAGGGTGTAGCTAACAATTCTGATGTTGTAATTGACGTATCGGGAAGCGAACAGTGAGAAATTGCGAGAATCGCTCGATTATTTAATTCATCACTTTGGATAACTGAATAATGGTCTGCAGGGATTGATTGAAGAGATGGAAGCAAAATAGCGCTACGATATTCTAAGGACTAAGTAATACACACATACATTTCACTGACGTAGTTTACAGCGTTTCAACTATTTATAACACTGAATCGGACAATTCTATTCTATCAGTCATCAATAATTGCTACGTATATTTCAAGCAGATATTACGTCAATGGCACACTTATGCATATAGAATTTTACAAATAGAAATTTATTTGACGTGGTAGGATATTGGAAATAGCATTGATAGTTTATTCAGTTGGTTGAGGCTGATAAATATCGACCTATAAACTTCAAATATGATGAATAACCAATGGATATTGTCTGTTAATGAAAATGGAAATTCAATCTAAATGGCTCTCTTCTCAGATAATCAAATTACTGTAATAGAAAGAATCAATCGTGCCACGTGTATTTATAACGCGGGATGAGTCCGGTTCACCCTTGATTAGCTATGGGTGTCTGCGAGTGTTCAGATAGCAAGTCACGCAATTATGCAGAGGCCATCAGAGTGGTCTGGTGGTTTGGAGGAGACAATGGGAAGAACGAGCCCCGAGCGATTCTCATACAAATTCTGCGGCAAAATTAAGGTCATCCATCAAGAGACACATTATAGCTACTGCTCGACGCCGAGGGACCACTTAATAATATTTTACCATCGTATCTGTGTGTATCATGTCCATTGCAGCAGTAAAAGTAGAGAGAGCTGGGAAAAAATGAGAGCGCAAGAGGGTTTCGGGAAAGAAGGTTACGAGTGTGCCATACATATTTGCTGTGCAGCTTGCAGCTTGCTCTCATTAAGCGATTTTACAGGCGCCGTCTACTTTACTTTTCAAGAATTCATGACACCGTGTTTGCTACTCAATTATCATTTAATTAAATCAAAATATAGATGAGTCACTGGAAAAAAATTTTTTTTTAAGCAGCGAATCAAAACGAACTCATCGCTTCAATTGCAAACAGAAGGATAGAAAGCACGTCGAGCGCAAGCGACAGCCAATTCTTCGTGTGGCAATCGAACAGCAGCAGCAGCAGCAGCAGCAGCAGTGGCAGCAGCACAGCGACCCTTCGAAAATGCACGAGGGTTAGTTGACCTAATTGCCACACAGCGAAGTCCCCCGTTATTCCGCTCGAATGAGAACTTCGTGGCCCGGCATTTGGGATTAGACTCACGGCGTTGAAAGCGTCACCGTCAGCGACCCGTATATTCTTTCTCTTCTTTTTCTTTTTTTCTCTCTCTTTTTCGTCGCTTCAAGGAGGAAGAGTCTTCGTGTCATTGCCGTGAGCTTTCTCTTTTCTTCATCCTTCCGATTGGCCAATGGCAGAAGATTTTTGCAGCCGAGCGTGGTATTGAGTTGCGTGGCGGAAGCATTGTGTGTGTGTGTGTGTGTGTGTGCTGACTTTGGTGGAAAATATTGAGTGAGACTTTTTTTTGTAATCTTCCAGAAGAAATCGTAAGTGACGTGCTTTTTCTAAGCTCGGTGAATGGATGTATTTTGACATTTATTGCGCTTGAGTAATTGAAAACGTGATTCGGATGAAAGTAAATGAAGTCAAAATAGACTTTCAATCTTCATCAAGGAAATCGAAAGTTCCCTTCGTCAGACTCAATCTACATATATGTAATTAGTGCTTTTAATTTTATTGAAAGCTAGCTGAATCTTATGCTCGCGAAATCCAATAACCTCAATAGATACAAGGATCGCGACAGTAGCATCCCATTTCCTTAATTAGCTTGCAGCGAGAGGAGAAAAAAACGTTCGAAAAAACGAAATCCGAGCAGAATTTGACCGAGAGAGAGAGAGAAAGAGAGAATGAACTAACAGAATCGGAGTTAATTAAAAATCGATTCGACAGCAGCGCATCAGCTCGAATTACCAATGGAGAACAAAAAATAGAGACTATTTAAAGGTCTGATTCACAACTGTTATATAGTTGATTCTCGGCAAAAATTGTTTCCCTCGTGGCCGTTAGTCCGCCTTGCTCTTGATGTTCCGTTCTTTACTTTTTATTCTTGTTTTCTCCTTCCTTCCTCCACCTAGAGGATTTTCGGAGCCAGAAATTATTTACGATTGTGAAAAGGAAAAAATTATTTTTATAAGGTAGCTAAGCTAAAAATCGTCGAATACAATGAATATTTCACAGCGATGTAGACGTTGGCTACATTTCTGGTCTTATTTTCAACAAATCACAATTTATTTCAAGTGTTTTTTTTTTGCAACTTTTTTATATGCAGTAAACATCTGAGAGTGAGAGAGAGAGAGAGAGAGAGAGAGAGAGAGAGAGAGAAACAGGGAAAAGCCTCTTTAAATCGTCGAATTTGTTCTCGCGTAAGAACCTTTTTTACCTTGTCTTTGTTATTTTCCATTTCTCGCGGATGAGCTTTCGTGTATAACTTTTATTGGAGCTTGAAAATAATTTGGGTCTACGTCGCTACGCCGTACATTTAAATATGTTTTTAGCGCAAAAACATACAACCAACAGCGAATTAATTAAAAACTTTTTGGAAACTCGGACAACTATAGGGAAAAAGGAAAATCTCGAGGCTTTCCAAGTTCCGTAGCAGTAGCAATATCCATAAAAGCTTACGCGCTGGCCGATAAAATTACAATACGAGAAAACACCACGTATCTCTCTTTTAGCCTTGGCTCTTCGCCTCACTCCCCTTATAAATTGGAAAACTTCCAAAGTCGCGTCGTCCGGCGGGGAGGGGAAAAAAAGACGCACGTGAGGGCAGAGCAACAAAAATTCGCGTTTATTTCCAAAGTTGTTTCCGTCTCGTTAGAGCAAGACTTTTTCGACGCAACAACGCGAAGAATATTATTGAAAAAAAAAAAAAAAAAAAAAAAAAATTGGCGCGCGCGCGCTGCAGTCTGTCAGCTGGGAGGAATTGTAAAAAGTTTTTATGGCTCGTCAGGCAGACGGCACGAAGCAGCAATGAAAGTTCCAGGCAAAGCTCGGACGTGCGAACGAGGAGTATGACAAATTGAAGGAATCGATCGGAAGGAATGGAGGAGAACGGAGGCCGGTATAAGAAGAGGCCGAGTATCAGTTGGATAGTTTTCCACAAAGGATGATAAGAAAAGTACTTACGCGGTGCCGTTGTGTCGTCCGATGGATATCATACGCCAGACTTGGAGCTCGACCCTTTGCCCCGTGTCCGGTACAAATCGGTAAGTACACAGCGAAGGGCCTTCCAGTTGCGGCGACTTGATTTGGCCGAAACCGCGATCCGATTTGCTGAACAGTAGCTGGCTGTTGAGCGTTACGTTGCACACTAAAACCAAGCCGGGATCAGCAGATCAATTGCAATAAATCAAGCGCCAAGCGAACAAAGATAACCGTGCGAATGCTTTAACGAGGCTCAGCTCAACTATCGATCGTCGTTAATTATTCGCTTTCACCCGCGATAATGAGATTCGTCATCGGGAAGAAAATAATCGCCCCTCTCCCTAGCCATCGCCGGTTAATCCCAATTACGACCGAATAGCGTCTCTCGCGGAAGAAACAGTTATTCCCGCGAGATTTCGTCCACCTGGGCATGACGTTTTAACGAGAGAGCTTTCGCTAATGGGCACTCGACCGCGCCCCGTGAATATCATTGAACAATCAGGCCATCGGTTGTTGTTGATCTCTCTCGAAGAGCGTGAATTAGATTAGTCGCGCTCGGCGACATGCCGTTTTTTCAATTGCCTCGACGATCGAGCAGCCCAGACGAGCGCTTTTCATCGCTTCCGGCTCCGCAAGTCCAGCGCGTGGAGCTCCCTCCCAGGCACCAAAAGCTTTCCCCATCTTTGGCGATGTCAGCCGCCTTTTCATAGCCAAAGTATTTCCATCGAACGCAGTGCGGAAGGGCCGAAGCTGTTTTTAGGCATTCATCTTTCCAACGCCTGCTTAGTTTGAAAGAATCGCTGCCGACAACTGTTTTGAAAATGAACGGCTCGAACAGTAGGCAAATCGCAGCAATAATGTATTTCCATGAATGCATATCTTTATCGAATTTGCAAGAAGATAACGGACAATGCTGACGCAATATGTAGGTGCAGGATCGTATTGTAAACTCACTGTTAGAGCAGTAATCCTCGAGTCCGCATTGGGTACACCTGTTGGGTACCTGAGCACCGCAGCTGCAGCCACCGGATGGTACGCAACAAGCGCACGCTGTCTTGGACGAGTTGAAGCTACACGGACAGCCGGTCAAGCTTTGAGTCCACAGATCCACCTGGCCTGCAATGCAAACAACCACCCTTAGTGTCTAACTAACGGAATTGACTGCGTCGGGATTATCTATTGGGCAACGATTGTTCAAGGCAGCAGGGGTTGGGTAAACGAGACTTCGATATCGCGCATGGCCAAATCCAGGAGCGTGCAGCCGAGAATTCTTCGACAAGCCCGGCTGGCGCGCGTCTTCTCGATGCCGCGAAAGCCCATTGTCGCGGAAAAGGGCGCAAGTAGAGCTCTCGCGAACGACTACCGCGGCTCGCGGACCCTTTCGCGCTCGACGCAGTAGAAATGTCGAATCGCCGTTTCGATTCCTCTGCCTATTCCATCTCCACAGATGGACTAGTAGCCAAGTGGTATGTTTGTCCGTTCGTTGGTAGGAAACGAAGATGCACGGACGCACAAGCGCGCGCGTGGATTGTCTACGTTCCGTCGGGTTTTTTTCCACAGAGACCATCTCCAGAGGTTCTCTGCGATTGCAATTTCTCGTTCACGGTCGAATAAAGCTTTCGAACATTACAAGTGAAGAGTAACGAAGTTTGTCAAGGTTATCCTTGCAATTGTCAACACTCGAAACAATTCACCATCCGTCGCGGCTAGGGTGCACGTATCCCTTGAAAACATCTCGCCTGCGCGAGCTTACGATAACATCAGTCAATTTGCTCTAGAGGGGGCATAGGAGAAAGAGAGAGAGAGAGAGAGACAAGTTCCAAGCCACAAAACATCAGCGCCGATGAAAACCTTTGTCGCGTGCGCGTGAGAGAGTATGATCGATCGACATCTCCACGGCGATAAATTTTCTTGGCTAGAGAGCAAGAAGGAAAAAATGCTAGGATATCATATATATATATATATATATATATATATTGAAAGAGAGAGTTTATTGCAACGGTGAATGTGTTTTCGCGCGAGTATGTGCTCCGAAAGCAAGAACTGGAAGTTGGTGAAATTGACGCTATTCTCTCAGATTCCTTCACTACGCTCTAATACATTGTCGAGTTTTGCTTCTTTTTTTGCTCTAGTTATGGCGAACTTTCGTCGATATCTCGCAACTTTGTTGCGTTTTTCAGTGGAATGATTGGGAAAAATCGTCTATTTGCCCGCTAAAGAATAAAAAAAGTTATAGCCGTAGATAAAGATCTAAAAGTTCCCAACCCCGTTAGAGGCATACCACTGTAATTCTTTCCCTTCCACACGGCTAAAATCAATAGCAGAGAGGATATAAGAAAGTCTCCGCGTAGAAGAATTATTCAGCCTAATATACTCCCTCGCAATACCAAGAGAGATTAAGGCGAATAAATAGACAAGGGAAAATCGGCTCTTAATCCTCGCATTAAATGCTAACAACAACGAAGCGTCTAAAGTATAAATAACGCGATATGTGTTTGAACCACATATTGCGACAGTTCATGCGTTACGAATTATTATGAAGCCCCCATAGCAGAACTACACACATGCGAACTACTACAAATATCGTTAGCGGCCGAGTGGGTGTGTGTTCCGCTGATTTTCCATTTCCCTGCTCTATACACAAATGATGTTAGTGCGTTGGGAAAGGATTTTATGACTTCAATATATTTCCATATAACTCGACGTATAAACACATGCGCGCGTGCGTACACACACACATACTGGTGTCATGCAATTTCCGCCAGAAGGGAAATCCTATTCCTGACAATATGAATATTCCGAGGAGGTGGAGTAGGAGAAGCCAGTCGCCTAAGCATTGAAGGACCATTAAGTGCGAGTGATGTGTGTATGCGTCTCGTATATTCAACACCGATGGATTTCCGTGAACAAAGTTATTCGATCAAGCCATGCCCAATTTCCTCTGCATTTGTACTTTGATTGGCCAGTGAAAAGGCTTTATCTTACTGACCTCGCTCGCTTTACACGTAAACATGCGCGAAGCGAGCTCTACCATCCAGGTCTCGCAAAACGAAGAGTTTTTTCCAAAAGAGGGAACAAAGACCTATGGCCGAGGATTCATCGTTTGATCGAGCCAGAGCTAGTGAGGTTTTGAGCTTCCGCGTTCAGACCGATTCTCCTTTCACTCTTCGTTTCGTCGAGAAACAGAGAAAGAAAAAAAGGAAAGGTCAATTCGTTGTCCGGCGACGCGACCATTGAGTAGTTAACACGTATCGCATGTCAACGTTACTGTCAGGACGATATAAGCGTTTCGTATACGGCACGTCGATTGTCCGACGTACGCGTACGCTACGCGCGCCGGCCAATTAACGGCGCGGAGAGGCAGTTTATGTACATTACTGGTAACCGAGGCCTAGGCATGTCCGCATCGCTAGAGATGCGGAAAGGAGAAGGGCTAGCGGGGCGGAGCGGTGGGTGGGGGGGGGGGGGTATAAGGGCAATGACGCGTCCCTAAACGCCACAACACTGCTTGTCTCGGCCAATTTCAGCTGTACCCGCATATTGTCCACTGTTGATTGAGTTACGTCAGACATACTCTGTGCACTGACGCTCGGTCGCCGGAAAAACATTGGTCATGCTTTTAAAAAATAATCGCCACGAAAATTGGCAATCCGATTACGGTTCTAATCGAAATCCATGGTACAACTTTGGATTGAACTATGTCTGCAAAGCGAGCGCATTACACGCATGAATAGACAATAAGCTTTGTGGATATAATTAAGGAACGAGTGTGCAAAGCGCCAGTGTTACCATTCGCAGCATCCGTGGCTACAAGTTCGGAAAGACTTGTTAATGCGTGTTTAGTTAAGTCGAATAACTGACTGACACAATGTACGTGCACGCGCAGCAAAAAGGGAAGTGCAAATTAGACGATACAAGCGAGCGCTAGGCTGAAACACGCGTAACGTATTCTCTTTATTGCTCGAGCTAGCGACTCTTATGTATGCGTGCCTGTAGTCGGAATACACTTAGTTACGCTTTGCGTCAAGAATAACTGGATTCCTTGAATTCGCACTGTTGTTGGTACGTAAATTCGTGGCAAAGTGATAGCCCATTTATTGCAGACATCGCTCTGTAAACCGCCAAAGTATATAGGCAGTCAACTTGAATTTGCCCTCCAGTGATTTCTCGCAATATCTATTGGTCGGGTTACTTGTTAAGATTTTTCAACGTCATCAAAGACTACTCGAAAAAATGAAGGGATCGGAGTTATTGGATTAAAGAGGACGGATAGAGATAGAACCGGAGGGGACAGCGAGTCTCTGGATGATGAGGTATAATAATCGGCTCGGCCGTAATCTCGAACATCCGTATGAGAGAGAAAGCGCGCGCCAAAGCCGATTTGGGTTTGCGGATTACTCGCGAAGACGCGGACTCGCGTGCGGTCGCAAGTTTGACCGGTGAGTCTTCTTTCGCAGACAGAGATGTTGTATTTTACTCGAGTTAGTCTCGCATGACGACGACGCAATTCATACGAAACAAAGAAATCAAATTATCACATGTGAATTTCAGTATATAACTTTTACGACGAGCGTGAAAAAAAAGCGGACCTTTTACGACCGCGAGGAGGGCAATTTTCGAACAACGAATGCGTATCAAGGTAGTAAATCACTTTGTTGAAGCGCAGATAGAAACCGTAAAAATAAAAGATTCTGTATTGTTCACCTGGTCGGCGCGTAAAACACTTTTATAACTCGCTTAATATCTAAGACAATGCGCGTGTAGTGGCCTCGTAAAGTCTTCCCAATCGCGAACCGAAAAAAAAACGGTCGATCGACTGCCACGTCAACATTTTCATACGAAAGCCCGAAAATTGTGCGGCCATAAAAGGAAAAACAGCGACGACGATGGGAAAACGCAGCTGGACGAGCCAGCACTGCCATGGCTTTCATAAACTGCAGCGCGGCCGATGTGTCCTCTCTGTCTGTTTCTTAGTACGGCGGCGCAATTGATTTGCATCGTCTTTCTTTTTCCGCCGATTAAGCATCAGGGCTGTATGGAAAGAAGCCCTTTGCGCTGTCGAGTGGAAGTAAGGCTTGTCACTGCGCACAGACACGGGAATACTTTATGCTGGTTTGCGATTAGAAATGAAATACGGGCTTAAGGCGGTGCACGTAGGGTGTGCAGAATTTGTATTGAAATCGCACGATCGATTTCAAATCTTAATAATGCACGTTTATAAACGATTAAAAGACGTACGATACACGAGTAAAAAAAGAAGAAACGAAAATTCAATCTGGAATCCATAACGTAGCAGACAAGTTAAATATCCCCGGACAGCTCTATCTCACGCATTATTGAATCTTTGGAGTATAGCAGAGCTAGATATATATTCGATTGGAAGTGGCAACACTCGAGGCGGTCACCTTTGGACACTCACACACACGCATACACGTAGAAAAGTATATATAGAGACAGCGGTTTTAAGCCTCGGGTACTGATCTCTTTTCTTTTTTCCATCCTCGTCGGCACAGACGTTTTTCTTCTGTCCATATTGTCTCCCTCTTGTGTTCTTTCGTCTCTCCTAACTTTAGAAGCATTTCCTTTTTTTCAGCGAGATGGGAGAAATAAGTTGCACGGCCACCGTGATTGATGCTTGCGAAAAAAAGCTATGCTTTCGGGAACTTATCGTCTTCCACTGTCTCCAGAAAGTTTTTGACTTTTATGGAAACGTTTAATGACGTTTCTTCCGGGATGAAGTTTGAGAGATGGAGAAACGGAAAAAACAATCGCATCTGGCGGTATACCTCCGTTCGCAATTAAGAAACAGATATATTTCCAAACGGAGCTATAAGTTTTTCGAGTGCGCGCGATTAGCCAGGGATTCCCGTTCTGCTTGTTTGGAACCGCGAAAATTTATACTCGCGTCTGCGAGCTCTTTTCGCGCTTTTGCCAGGGAAATATACGGCGCCGGCTCTTCCTAAAATAAAAGACGCGTATACGTCGACGCGCTCCTCGCTCCCTCGTAAAACACGTATTCTCCTGCAGAGTTCTATTTGCTACTGCCTTTAGCTTTTTCCAGGATTATTTCCAATTTTATCGAAAAAATCTGACGCGTCCAGGAATGCCTTCTTTTT